ACACACACACACACACACACACACACACACACACACACACGCAAACCACAGCAGAGGCTAGCCCGCTTTTAAACAGTGACAATAATATTAGACAGAGAGAAAGAGAGAGCGCTTGTTGTTTTGTACCCCCCACGCCCTCTGTGGACCTGCTGCTGGTGGAGCTCTGAACAGGAGAGGGGAATGTTGCTATGGAGACCGTTTCCATCTCTAGCGGCAGTCAGAGAGAGAGAGAGAGAGTGTATGTGTGTGTCAATAGCTCTCTGACTTAGTTGCTGATGCTAGCTGTAATTCAGCAGACAGTGAGAGAGAGAGAGAGAGAGAGAAAGAGTGCTGCAATAGAGTGAAAAACCTGCTACTGCATCTGGGGGAACGAGTTCAGTTCAATGCAGCACACAAGTTCAGACAATAGAGTCCCCGTAGACGGACTCATCGCTTCACAAAAACCTGTCGTGCATGGTGGAAATGACCATGCATCCTGTCTGTGTGTATACTGTGAATCTGGCTCTGTCCTCCTCCAGTTTTAATTTAAATGTTAGAGAAAGTCACAGATGAGGCCAGAGGGATTCTTACGAGCACGTGTTGATAATGACATGATGTGGGAGGGCAAAACTAATTATATTTGAATGAAGAAATAATGACCTTTCACAGAGAAGACAAAGTCTGACCTAATTGCAGCCTGGGAGAACCCTTCAATGCACCATGCTGGTGTTGCATGTACTGTAGCAACACATGCTAAAGGCGCTCTGTAAATGCATTTGTACACCTCATACATGTAGTGCATGTATGAGGTCTCTCTCTCTCTCACACACACACACACACACACACACACACACACACACACACAGTAATGTCTTCCAGTACCACCAGGCCAAAGTCACTCATGTGAATCGAATGGAATCGGCTTAGCATTCAGCATTCTTTAATCAAAGCTGGTTTCGCCCTTTTTTGCCCTTCTCCTCTCTGTTTCTGCCCCCTCCCCATCCCCCCCACTGCCTCTCTTCTTTTCCCTTCCCTCATCATCATCATCATCCACACATTAAGTCACTGAGGGGAAACAGTAATTGATGGATGCTATTTAACAAGTTTACACACGAATACATCCTTCAATCATCTCTTTGAATGATCAACCAGGCAGAGCCAGTGGAGCTGAAACACACGCTAACGTGATGGAATGCTCCCTTAAATTAGTTTTTTTTTTTTTTTCATGCAAATGATTTCAGACCAGACATGACTTGTAATTGCGTTTGTGAATGGCAAACATCTTCTTCAAATGAAACTTTATGACAATAGAAAAATAAATTCGCAGCACTGTCACAGGTGGGCAGGGTGTCTCAAATGATTTCTGCTGTTGTCAGTTGCTACATGACCAAGATGACTTGAATTAGAGGGAAGCCAGACACTGGACTGATCAAATGCTGGACACACACACACACACACACACACACACACACACACACACACAATAACCAGATGAAGCCTATAAATCCTGTGGCCAGCCAGGTCTGACAAAGACAGGTCAGCGCTTCCTGATGCATCAGAGGGATGCTTGAGATAACACACATCCATCACCAGTAATAACTCAGACGAGCCTGCTGGCCTGCTGCTCAGATGTCTACATGGAAGACTGAATTAAAACAGGCATGGCACAGTTCTTATCTGCTTCTATCCAACAATCTGACCCCCAATAACCCCTTCACTGTGCAATATAGAATTGGCAATCAGACCAGCTGGATGGAAACATAGATATGCATCGATTCTGGAATGAAAACCCCGTACGAAGAGCCAGAGACACAGGAAAACCAGGAAGGGAGGGAGAATATTGAGTTTATTTATAGAGGCCTGTGCACAGCACACCACCCAAAAGAGAGAGGTGCCACTAAATGCAATCACAGAGAAAGGAAAGGTCTGGGGAGAGAAGTCGGTTTCTCAAAATAGCTCAATAAAAGCTTGTACAGCAAGATTCACTGGCACAGACACCGGCAGAGACCAAAAATAAGAGTGCCCTGCCTAACCTCTAGACAACGCATAATCCTGTCAGGAGCTAAGGCAACAAGAAAGCAAATTGACGTTGATCTCGTGGCACTGCGGAGTTGTGTAAGACACAGAGACTTGAAAAAGGTGTGCCTGAATAGAAAGCAAGTTGCATAAGGGGTGTGCAGTATTTCCAGGTAGAAGGAGGGACGTGAGCAACCTGGTGCTGTGCAAAAGCTTTGTTAGAGGTAGAGGGGAAAGGATTACAGCACTTGTGCTGAGCTGCCTGCGTCAAAGGATCAAGCCGGAGGATAATTCAAGTCTGTTCTCACACTCCCTTTCACCTGCCAGTCTTGTTCCCTCAATGACAATTAACAAATGTGTCTTTAGTGCCATTCTTCCTAGGGAATGAATAAACACACGCTAGTATTACATCCTCTGGAAATGGAGACCATTCATGTGCTGAACAAGCAGCTGATAATAACTTCAATTCACACCACCAACAATAGAGATCAATCACATTTTTGAATAAACCCCACTACCTACTGGTCCGGTACCCCGTCAGATGATTAAGGGTTTATTCAACTCGATTACCTTCACATAAAGCAACAGAGCACAATGCAGGTCTCCTCATCAGAAGAGAATGACTCTTTGTAAGATCTGGAGTGAACAAGCTAATTAACCTGGTTTCTCCAGGATCAGCCCCATGAGACTGAGACAGGGTGTGTGTATTTTGTGTTCCTTTTTCTTGCATGTGTGTGTGTGGATTCTTTTGTGCATGTATCTTTGTGTGTGTGCATGTATGATTTTTTTTTTGTATCCCCACACTCCAGGGAGTTGAGGGTGAAATGGGCAAGACGTGATACTGCTTCTCTTCTCACACTTCATTAACACATCGCCGTGGTACACATCTGACTATAGACACAACACGGGGCAAAAATGGAGCAGAGGAAGAGGGGATAGATGAACCAGCATTCATCCCCTGCAGGCCCTAAGCTGAATACCAAGAAGAGTGATTTCAAATTCTTGTTATTTGGTATTCTTTTAGAAATTGAAAATAGAGAGCAGGGGGGATGGTAGGAAAGCGAGGATGCGCAGTATTATAATCCCCCACCAAAAACAAAAGCTGACACTCACGCTCGATCTGTCTGCCTGCGATGCTTTGGTGAAATCCCTTTCATCTTCCTGTTTCCATCAAAGATTAGATGGCTGCTGTACAGACTAAAACCTCACATTTATTAGTGACCTTATCACCAGCACATGTAGCATTCTGAGTGGCGCTGCTTCCTCGACAGGACACGGGAATTAGCTATCAAAACTTACAAATATATCCCATTATAAAATCCCAGAAAGGTCAAGAACTGCTTAGCCTTGAGGCTAGCTGCACCCCAAATGACTCACACACAGTACGTCTATCCCAGTGCTAACTCATCTACTGACCAGGAAGCCATATCACAGTAGAAAAATAGGACATTTTTGTCATCGTCCTACAGTAGCAACACCACGGGTATTCTTTAATAAATTCTCATTAAATTTTCATGGTGCTTCAGACTTAATAAGAAGCTAATCAGGGGATGAAAGCAGCTGCTGAATAAGGAGTGCGACTCGCCCCAACTTCACAGCTTGCCATTAAGCCTCCGCTACCCCCCGCACCATCTCCATACATGCACATGCACAGTCTTTCTTGCACTATGTGGTGAGGCGGGGCGAGGCGTTTTGAGTGCTTCATAGTAAATAATGGATGGGACCTGAGGGTATGGTGGGCTAAGTCTTTTTATGCCGGGGTCCTAAAGTGTGGCCCCAGGCCGTTTGCCTTGGCACAGCCGACCGAGCTCTGGCTCTGTTCTCAGCAGCAGCGGCGGCAGCAATAAAGGCTGTGAGCCCTCTGTAGTGGGACTGCATCAGTATTCAGTGGGGCTAGAGAGGTCACATCACACACAAGCTTGTATCAGACAGATGTATAACAGCAAAGCAAAGAGCAAGAGGTAGAATGTGAAGAAGAGGGGGGGGCAGGGGAGAGAAAGAGGAAGGGATTACATGTCCGACCAGTTGTTCTTTAAGTCATTGTTCCACTAACAAAATTGTAAAGGACCAGAAATCAATACTAAAGCAGGCGTTATGTTAGGTCCTGCCTCACAGCCAGAAAGCTATTTGCATTTTTAAACCCAATGTGGTGCTATTTCATCCATTATCACAACATCCAAGGAGGAGGTGGCTGAAAATGAACTGTTGTAGGAGCACCACAGTCCACTGACTCAACACGCGTATACACAGCCACGGTGAGAAATCATCCATTCTGTCACCATTAGCAACGTGTCATCTGCAGGCGGTTGCCGAATGCAAATCAGAGTGTAATACAATTTTCTCCCCTCTAGATAATAATGATGACTCTGGAAACTTCACTTTAAAATTG